CAAGAGCAGGTCAGCCTGGCTACTTGAGTTTCTGTCTCCAAACAAAAGGCAAATTTATCATTGTACCAAACCAATGTCATATGTGAACTTTACCATTTAGATAAAATGAATAGGTTTAATAACAAACACAGGCAATGAATTATCAGGAACAAACGTTTGCATTTCTCTTAAGGTACCTAAGGTGCTGTGTCTCAAGAGGTGAGCCTTCCTGCCTGTCACTTGAGGAAACAGACAGCACTTTTCAAGGTTCTTTTCTTTCCCCCTTTCCTTTCCTTTGTTTTAATCAAAGTCTCTCTCTATACCTCTGACTGGCCTAGAACTCACACAGAGATCCTCCTGTCTTTGCTTGCTTGCTTCCTTCCTTCTTTTTTCTTTCTTTTGTTCTTTTTTTTTTTTTTTTTTTTTTTTTTTTATGACTCAGGGTCTCCTCTTGCCCACACTGGCCTCAAAGTCAAGGCTATTTGAAATTTCTGGTCCTCCTTCCTTAGACTCCTGTGTCCTGGGGTAAGAGGTAGGTATCAAAATGTCCAAAATGTCAAGCACTCTAACAACTGAGCTACAAGCACTTTACCCCCTGAGCTACAAGCATTCTACCAACTTAGTCCCAGAACCCACTTTTTTTTTTTTTTAAGATATATTTATTATGGATGCAGTGTTCTGCCTGCATGTACAGCAGATCTCATCTTGCCATGTGGTTGTTGGGAATTGAGCTCAGGACCTGTGGAAGAGCAGCCAGTGCTTTAACCTCTGAGCCATCTCTCCAGCCCTGAACTCGCTTTTTTTGATATATGTCTTACTATAGCCCAGGTTGGTCTCAGCTTGATAATTCTCCTCCCTCAGCCTTCCCAGTGCTACCAAATATTACCACACCAGCTACTATTCAGCTAATTTTCTCTGTGACTCTCTTATGATGTATCCATGGCAACAGAAGTAGTGTGAGATGGCCTGGGTCCGGCAGGAGGGCTGTCCTCTGGGTCTCTGACATCACTGCTTACCTTGGTGGTACACAAACTAACGTACCTGTTGATAGTTGAGTCTGTCCTTCATAACTGCCACCACATGGATTGGGGCAGCTCAGGTTGTTGCCAGGACATGGAAGCAGAGCCGATTCCCACTGAGCCATCTTCCCTCTCACAGCAACAGACACCTCGAACTACACTTCATTTCTCTCTTTGTTTTTAAGATTAATTTCCTTATGTAGTGTTCTGTCAGCATGTACACCTGCACACCAGAAGAGGACACCAGATCTCATTATAGACGGTTGGGAGCCACCTCCCAACCACCATGCGGTTGCTGGGAATTGAACTCAGGACCTCTCAGGACCTCTGGAAGAGCAGTCAATGCTCTCAACCTCTGAGCCATCTTCCCAACCTACCTTCTTTCTTCTTTATTTCTTTTTCTTTTCTTTTTTTGTTTGTTTGCATGTTTTTGTGTTTTGAGCAAGGTTTGTCTGAGTAGTCCTGGCTGTCCTGGAACTCACAGAAAGCTTCCTGCCTCTGCCTTCCAAGTGCTGGGATTTAGAGTGTGAGCCCAGTCTGTTTTCTTTCATAAAGGGGTGTGCTCGCCATCCCAGTCCCTGGGACAGAGGCTACAGGGTCATCCAGGGCTACATGGCGAGTTCTAGTCCAACCTGAGCCCCATTATACAAACAAACAAACAAAGCCAGGTGTGGGGGTACACCTGGTGGGCCAGTGGCAGGTGGATCCTCTGAGTTCTGGGCCAGCTGAGGCTACACAGATCCTCTCAGTAAAATAAAATAGAATAGCATAGAACAGAAGTTAGGCCAGAGTCTCTGAGGAGGGTACAGGCCAGTCCCCGGGTCCCCATACCTGAATCAGGATGGGGTATGAATCATGGGAACCTGAGGTGGGAGAGGAACCCTTCATCCAGGGAACTGGTTAAAGTATCCCAACAGTGTCCCATGCTCAAGGCACTGTCCTCCCTGGCTAGAAACCTGCAATATTTTTACTTTTTCTTTTGTTGTTGTTTTTTGTTTGTTTTGTTTTTTTTTTGAGATAGGATTTCTTGGCTGACCTATACTCCCTTTGTAGATCAGTTTGGCCTCGAACTCACAAGAGAACCACCTTCCTCTGCCTCCCCAAGTGCTGGGATTAAAGATGTGCACCACCGTCCTAGACTGGAAAACTGCAATTTTCTCAGTATCTCCCATTTCTAAGGAGGGTGGCCCAAGCACAGCCTTTGTCATAGCCCATCAGAAGAGTGAAGACAACTCAGATGTCCTCCAGCCTGCACATAGGCTGAGGCGATACACACACGCCACATGCAAATACCTGTACACTCACACACGCATACACTAATGCACCAGACACAGGTGCGCACGCATGCGCGCACACTCACACACCGCAAGTAAAATGGAACTTTAAAAACTTTAATGTCTTTTATTGAAGCGCGGCTCTGGCCCGCAAATCCTCGCCTGAGCCCCGGGTAGGCCTCGGTCTGGTCGCGCTCGTCCACACTCGGTCACATCGGCTCCTCATGAAGCGCTCTTCCACGTAGACGCGGAACAACCGGTTTTTACCTGGGTCAAATTCCGTGAGAGAACCGGAGTCCTCGGGTTCGGGAGCCAGCGGGGAGCTGTGGCCCGCTCCGCAGTGGGTGTGGGAAGGGCCGGCCCGGCCCCGGCTGTCCTGGGGCCTCCCCTCTTTCCGGCAGCCAAACAGCACCGCAGTGCCCGCAGGTCCCCTGTCCCGACATCGCAGGCTTAGGGGAGCAGAATCCGGCGGGATCGGCCCTGGCGATTTTGGGAAGGAGGCTGAAGAGCGGGCGGGAGGCCAGGGGGCTGGCGCGTGGAGGCGGTGCGGGAGACCTGCAGGCAATGGGAGCCGAGGCAGGCCCTGCGGCCTCAGGTCCCTGCAGCCGCGGCTGCCAAAGGCGCCCTTGGCGGAATGACCTAGCCCGCTGGGAGGGAAGCCATGCTTCCCTCGCTGGGCTCTGACTCTACCATCCTGACACCAGAGCCCTCAGGGATGACTCGAAGCGGCAGTACAGGCGAGGGAGATGCACGGCACCGAAGTAGGACAGACTAAGGTGATTTTTTCTGTGTGTTTTCTCTGTGTGGCCTTGGCTGTCCTGGACTCGCTTTGTACATCAGGCTGGTCTCGTACTCACAGAGATCCGCCTGCCTCCGCCTCCTTGAGTGCTGGGATTACAGGCGTGTGCCATCTTGTCTGGCTAAGGTAAATGTAACTGCTAATGAAGCAACAGGAGGATGGACCGACTAGGTGGAGGGACTAGTAAAGAAAAGCAGAGCTGGTAACCGTGATGGCCCACCTCGGCAGTAAGGGAGGACACCCCGGAGCTGCGACTTAGCAACTCATTTCTCTTCATTTATTTTGAGACAGTGTCACTTTAGCCTAGGCTTGCAGTCCTGCTCCTGACCGCCACCGTGCAGGGAGGAATGATGCCATGCCCAGCTCTGCCGGCTGCATTTTAGTCTAATTCAATGTCTACACCTACCGGGCGTGGTGGCACGCGCCTGTAATCCCAGCATTCTGGGAGGCAGAAGCAGGAGGAGGATGTTTGTGAGTTTGAAGCCAGCCTGGTCTACAAAGTGAGTCCAGGACAGCCAAGGCTACACAGGGAAACCCTGTCTCAAAAAAAAAAAAAAACCAACAAAGAGAGAGAGAGAGAGAGAGAGAGAGAAGGAAGGAAGGAAGAGAGGAGAGGAGGGAGGAAGGGAGGGAGGGAGAGGGGAAGAAAGAAAGAAAGGAAGGAAGGAAGGAAGGAAGGAAGGAAGGAAGGAAGGAAGAAAAAAAAGACAAAAAAAACAGACAACTTCTACTACTTCTGATCCTCAGTTTCCCGACCTGGACAGGACAAAGAAGGCTATTCTGTTTTTTGCCCTACGCTGGGGGTGCCATTGTCATCGCAGAGCCCAGGAGCAGCCAGGCACGCACGCCGCATGGGCCACAGACGCCCCCTGGTGGCCAGACAGCGCAGTCCACAGGCTGATTTGAGGCCGGCGCCGCCATCTTTTCTTCGGGCAGCAGCCAGCTTGGTAAGGTCACTACTTAAAGTCTTTGTCCTCCGTTTTTGTTCATCAGTGCCTAAAATGCGCACATGGCATGATATTTTAAGAAATATTTTTATTAAGAAAAGGAAGACGTGCTGACAACACTGGCTGAGTGTTTTGGCTGAGAGAAAAACCAGTTGGTACAGCCTCTACCAGGATGGCGGCACCCCAGAGCGTCATGACGGCGCGCCACCTACAGGTGAGTGCGCAGGCGCGGGACGTCATCGACAGACGACCGGGCCGGTGCCGGGGGAAGAGGTAGGAGCGGCCGCGGCACGGGCGGAGCCGGGCTGCGGGGCACGCCGTGCGGGCGCGGCTCGGCACCGCAGTCCCGCCGGCGGAGGGCGGAACCGGAGACGGGGTGCCTGGCGGTGGGAGCCCCCGGCGCGCAGGCGCAGCAGCGCGCGGGGAGCTGAGCCCGCTTCCGGGCCGAGGTCGAGCCAGGAGGGCTTCCAGGAGGAGGAGGAGGTGGTGGTGGTGTTTTTCGCAACTTTCCTCCTGCCGCGCAGCCTGGCCGTCTCGGGGCACCTCTGGAAGAGGATTTTTGGAGCCCTCGGCTCATTTTGTAGCCTAGGCTGCCTGGACCTCGGTGTGGTCCTCCTGCTTCGGCTTTGCAAAGTGCTGGTAGAATAGAGGCGTGCGCCCGCGGTGCCCAACCTAGGAACGTCTTTCCGGGTGGTTGTCGTTCGTAGGTCGGGAAGCCGAGGTGCTGGTGCGGACTTGATGAGGTGTCTGGCGAGGGCCCTTTACCAGTGCACGCACCTCCTTGATGCTCCCAGCCGTCTGGCGATCACGATTTGTTAAGTGAATGCAGTAGTTCATTTGTTGAATAAATACAGGCAGGAGGATTGTGGGTCCTGACCAGCCTAGCGAGAAACGGGCTTTGTCTGGAGAAAAATAGCCCCAAATGCCCCTCCACCTCTCCCCCCCACCCCCCCACCAAACACACACCCCAAGACACGCTTGGAAGAGAACTTTCCGGTCTGGGGAAGGCAGCGGCTACAGCCGGTTCGTGCCGGGACCACGCCTGAGCTGCTTCGCTTCTTGAGTCAGGCTCTCACTGTGTAGCCTAGACTGGCCTAGAACTCAGGGGTGTCCGCCTGTCTGCTGGGACTGTGCCCAGGCTGTCCTGAAGGTTCAATAGGCGTTCACTGGGTTAGAAGAGGAGCATGAAGCTGGCACCCCGGATGCACACCTGTCATCCCTGCGCTGCTGAGGCAGGAGAATGGAAAGTTCCAGACCAGGTGTGAAGGTCCTGAGGCCCCGGGCTGATGGGAGGGTTTGAAGGCTCAAACGGAGGCAGGTGTGGCTGCCATGGGATTAGGAGACTTGGGTCATGGACAATAGGGGAATTAAGTCGGGTGCCTCAGTTTCCCCAAGTGGCCTCACTTCTGCGGGTGCTCCTGGGAGCCCTGGGGAGCTTTGCTGCTGACCCAGTAAGGAGCTTGGGATTCAAGGATGGTTTGGGGTCCAGCTGGGATGGCTTGTGCTGGAGCTCTGGCGCCTGCCCCATGACACTGTGCCCCTGTGAGGAAACTGAGGCACACAGGAGTGCCTTGGCCACAGGGACAGAGCAAGTGCTGGGACCCAAGCAGCCCTGGTCCACACTGCTCTGCCCCTGACTGATGGTCCGTCTGAGGCAGTGAGGTAGGACAGCACTACGAACCGGTCACAGCCTTCCATCTCAACATGAACTGTTGATATACAACTGGCCTTGTGTCTATATCCCATCCCCCCGCCCAGCCAGGGCTCCAGGTGGGTGGTGCCCTTCATGCTGCTAGGAATGGAATGGCTTCAACAAGGCAGCCAGCTCTCAGGTCCCTGCCCACATGGCGCCCACACTCAGCTGCTGAATGGGGCTTTGAAAGCCACATAAGTGCATCCTCAGCCCTGCCACTTTTCTGTCACCCACCCTCTGAAGCCTCATGGACCCCTGTCTACTGGGAACCTCTCTCAGTAGGAAACGTGACTGCAGATGCACGGGTTTTCTGGGAGGGCCAGAGAGGGGTCTTACACAGAGAGAGGACCTGATGGGGGTGATATCCTGGTGGTCCCGGGCCACTTGGGACTGTCACCCTTACTTGGGGTCACTAAGCTGGAGATGCTGGGAAGGCAGTGGGGAAGTGGTCTAGCGTGCTGCAGGCCTTGGGCAGGTGCGTTTTATGTGGGGGTATTTTTGGTGTTCTTGCTTTCTGATATGGTCTCATTGTGTAGCTAAGACGGCCTGAAACTGGCAGCCCCCATACCTCATCCTCCTAAGGGTTTGGAGCTCAGGCTCACCCCACCACACCTGACAGGAAGAGGGTTGCTCCCGAAATCCCTGAAGCATGGCCCCTCCCTCACCTCACTGTGGGGTGGGCCAGACCACCCCACAGTTAAGGTTCTGGGGCCTTACAGATGAGTCGGTCCCTGAGGTGCCTGTGTGTGTGAGGCTCATAGGCACAGCTTCTGAGCCAGGGTGCAGGACCTCAGCAGTCTAAAACAGGACACCCAGATGGCTGGCGGCGGGAGCCATGCAGGGTTCCTCTACACTGTGACTCGTAACAGACAAATAAGGACATCAGTGGATGCTCCGTATGGCATGCGCTGCTGTGGAGTATTATCCAGCACAGAAAAGACTGAGGCTTTAACACAACACTCACTGCTGAGTGACAGCAGCTGGACACGGAAGGCCCCATGGTGAATAACCTGTTAACTGAAAATGCCTCCAGGGACAAAGCCAGGGGAAGTCAGTTGGGCTGGGGCAGGGGACAGGAGTGATGGCTGATAGCAATGGCGTTTTCTGGACTAGGCAGTGGTAGTCTCTGTATAACACTGTAATCGTAGCTCTAAAAAATTATTACAAAGGGATCAGAAGAGACTTAACAGTAGAGCCCCTGCCTAAAAAATCCCAATGAGGCGCTGGGGCCGTGGCTCAGGGGTGGGGCCCCTGCCTAGAATCTCCCAGTGAGGGCTGGGGGCGTGGCTCTAGTTTTGTGGGTAGGGTTCCGTATTCTAATGTGAGAGGAGACGCTGACTGCTGGGACTGTTTCCCTTTCTATCCCAGTGGCTGCCCAGGGTCAGACAGGATTGTGTTGTCAGGCCAACCTGGGCTACATAGACCCTATCTTTAAAAAATGGCTTCTGTATGTGTTCTGTAAGTTGTAGAGAGGGCTGGGCCCTGGCCACAGTGCAGCCCCTCCCTGGCCTGGTTTCCTCCCTGCAGCCTGCTGAGGGATGCCCAAGAAGTTCCAGGGCGAGAACAGCAAGTCGGCAGCTGCCCGAGCACGGAGGGCTGAAGCCAAGGCAGCGGCTGATGCCAAGAAACAGAAGGAGCTGGAAGATGCTTACTGGAAGGATGAGGACAAACACGTGATGCGGAAGGAACAGCGCAAGGTGGGTGGGGCAGTGTCCTGGGGCTCCAGGTAGCCACGGAGGGCTGCGTGTGCAGTGGCCAGCTGAAGTGGCTCTGTGTTTGTCCCTAGCCTTAGTTGTGTTCTTTGACTCCTGGGCCTACTGGGATCCTGGAGTGGTTTGGGGCTGGTGCTGACAGATCATCCCACTAGATGGCGACACATACACTCACACCACACCACACCACACCACAGTCCCCTTGGTGGGCCTTCCCCTGCTGGCTGCTGAGATGCCTGATGCCAGCCCTCTTTGCCTAAAGGGTTTGTGGCTTTTCTGTGACCCAGGCTGACCAGCTGAGCCTCCTGCTGCAGCTTCCCTCAGCTCATGGTACTTCAGGGTTACCATGCTCGGAATGTGTGTGTGTCACTCCATACCGATGACCACTTGGTCCTAGGCTCTTGGAACTTTCCAGAAATTGTCCTTTTGGGAACGGGCTCAGCTGGCACAAGACCCTGCCCAGGCCCTCTGCCCTCCCTCGGGACGTAAGGGGCCCTGAAAGACTAGGAGTGGAATGTTCAGAGCCTGAGGAGCAGTCTCGGGAGAGCAGGCTGCGGGGCCTGTGGCGGGACAGGGCTGGGGCAGAGGGGCCTCTAGAAGATGCTGTTTTGGACTAATGGAGAAGCTGAGGCTGACTGTCGTACCTGCCCTCAGATACCTTTTGACTTTTGAATGCAGACAAGCCTTTCTGCCCCTTTCTGTGCGTTTGGGGCGGCGGATGCGGAGTGCCATTGTGAAAACTTTAGCTGCCCGGGTCTTTACGCACTAGGGTGCCCTGAGAGGTCGGGAAGGAGGGCGCAGTGCCCTCTTGAGTCCCACCCTGGGGCCTCAGACAGTATGTGACTGCAGATCCGCCCATGGTGACCCTGTTGCTGCTGCAGGAGGAGAAGGAGAAGCGACGCCTGGAGCAGCTGGAGCGCAAGAAGGAGACGCAGCGCCTGCTGGAGGAGGAGGACTCACGACTCAAGGGCGGCAAGGCCCCGCGTGTGGCACCTGCCAAGGTCACCCGCGCGCAGATTGAGGACTCCCTGCGCCGAGAGCAGCGCCCGGAGCCAGGTGCGCACGGGCCCGGGACGGTGGACCCCCGAGGACTTCGCCCACCGCCGGGCGCTTACATCCCGCCCCTCTCCCCGCAGTCGAGAAGGCCAAGAGCCACTTGGAGCTGCCGCTGGAGGAGAACCTGAACCGGCGCCTGCAGGAGGAGGGCAGCGTGGAGGCGCGCACTGTAGAAGACGCCATAGCAGTGCTCAGGTGGGCGGGGCCCCGAGTGGGAGGGTTGTGGGGTGGACGGGGCCCTGAGGAGTGCAGCGCTTTGGGGGCGGAGCACAGGCCTGGGTCCTGACTTCAAGGCCTGTAGTGTGGCAGAGGACGCGGACCGGCACCCGGAGCGCCGCATGCGTGCGGCCTTCACTGCATTCGAAGAGGTGCAGCTGCCACGGTTGAAGCAGGAGAACCCCAACATGCGGCTGTCGCAGCTGAAGCAGCTGCTGAAGAAGGAGTGGTTGCGCTCCCCAGACAACCCCATGAACCAGCGGGTTCTGCCATTCAACGCACCCAAATGACAGAACCGGCCGGAGTCCAGCTTATCTGAGTCAGCTCATCCCCCTCCAGCCAGGCCTGCCCAGGGGATCCATAGAGATCCGGGCGTGGGGCCCTCCCGGCTGCGCCATAGCTTACCCTCAACAACCCTGAGGGTCCCCGCTCTGAGCGACATCCCAGCCCCTGTGTGCCCCGTGGAGCCCGGCTGAGCACCCGCCCAATAAAGGCTGTGGCGAGGGTGCCTGCGGTCTGTGTCTGTGGGGAGCACGGGAAAAGGGAGAGGATCTGTGGTGATCATGTCGAATCTACTGGCCCAGACTTGCCGGCCACCCTGGACAACAGTGCAAGGGGGGTGGGTGGCTGAGGCTTCTGGTCACAGAGCAGCAGGGAAGCTGCCGTCTGTCCTCACCCTGAGCCTGTTCTCACGATAGGTTTCTCCCAGGTGGCACACGGAGCATGAGTGTGCTGGGCTGGCTGGGGTTGGCTGGTGAAAGCCCTTGGCCGAGAAGGGGAAGAGTATAGGATTTGAGCTCAGAACTGCTTTCTCTAGCCGCGTCAATCCGGAAGAGCCTGAGGGAGCTGGATGAGAGTCCTGTAAGCCGTGGCCAGTGCAGACAGCACGCCCTGGCCCTACGGTCACAGGATATTAAGATGGCCGGTCATAGGGAGGAATTTATCAGGTCCGACAACAGACACCCAACATACAGAGTTGTCACTTGCCGCTTGGACCCTTCTCAGCTCCTATTTTTTTCTTGGATTCTGCCTAGAGAGCAACTATGTCACCCTCAAGACCTGTGTTCTCCCAGGTTCTTGTACCAAGAAGGGTGCCGCTGTTCCCCGCTCCCAAGACCAGGGCTAGGATGAAGGGGGTTTGGTTAAGTGTAAGTCTCATAAGTTCTGTAGCTGATCAAGAGAGAACAATTGATGCCAAGGCCTCGGGTAAAGTGGACACACAGTGCTGCCAGGATGTGGCTGCGGCAGTGAATATGGCAAGATGGGTGAGATACATAACTGAGTGACAGCACTTGGCCAATATGTGTGGGCTCTGGCCTCCAGGCCCACAGCTGGAGAGCAGAACAATCCTGGGGGGTGACAGCTGCCATCCCAGCCCTCAGGAGTTCAAGGTCACTCTGCTCTGTGGCGACTTTGTGGCCTAGTGGAGAGAAAGGCTTCCAAACAACCTGAACAAAGCCTGCGATGCACTAGGAAGCATCCCCTAGAACTAACTAGAGGGTTCCTGACATTCCCGGAGACCTGGGAGCTTTAGTGAGGGGATGGGAGTGCCATGCACAGCTTGGGGTCCCCCCATTACAGTGACGGTGCAGCTGGGACAAGGGAAGGGCACTGTGCCTGCAGCGCCAGGTGCCGCCGCGAAAACGGGTCCCATAAAAGGAGCTGCTGGGCACGGGGCACTCCTTTTTATGAATGAGTGCTCTGTCTGCATGTACACCTGCAGGCCAGAAGAGGGCACAGGATCTCATAGATGGTTGGGAGCCACCAGTGTGGTTACTGGGAATTGAACTCAGGACCTCTGGAAGAGCCGACAATCGGTTTACATGCTGAGCTCTCCAGCCCAATGCACGCCTTTAATCCCAGCATTTGGGCAGCAGAGGCAGGTAGATCTCTGTGAGTTTGAGACCAGCCTGGTCTACAAAGTGAGTCCAGGACAGCCAGGGTTACACAAGAAGAAAAAACAAAAGGTGTTTGCATCCTGCCTGGGCATCTGCCAAGATCATCGGCAGGCTATCCTGGTCCATGTTCTCGGGAGGCTTGACAGGAGTTCAAGGCCAACCTGGGCTACAAAGACCTCAAAAAAAAAAACAAAAAAAAAAAAAAAAGGAAGGAAAGAAAAGAATTCAGGGAGTTGGAGAGTTGCCTCAGTAGGCCTGAGCACTTCACAGCTCCAACTCCAGGACCAGGGGCTCCAGTGACCTCTTTGATCTCTCCGAAGGCCCGAGATACACACGTGGTGCACGCACATACATACTTACAGACGTATGTGCGTCCAGACAAAACACTCTACACATAGATGTTGAAAACTAAAAATTTTAGTTTGATACAATCTGATGTAGCCAAAGTTACAACTGATTCTGCTCCCTTCTGCCGGGGCCGGGACGCCCCTCCACACCCGCTTCCAGGAATTACTGGTTTTCTTGAGTCTAAGGACACGGAACTGTTGGCGCCATAGAGGGCGTCACTAAGAAGGGCACACACACCCTGAAGAAGGTGTCCCAGGGCCCTCCCATGGCGGGTTCAGGACCGTCCTGCTAGCAGGAGGAGGCAGCCAGCAGAGGGGCAGGGCCGCACTGCAGAGTGGGGAGCCACTCTCCGTCCCTGCAGAGTGAGGACACGAAGGACAAGAGCAGTCAGCCCAGCATTGTGGACTCTAAGGCAGGAGCATTGCTGTAAGTGCAAAAGCCAGACTGACCACATACAAAGACACTGTGTCAAAATAAAAACGACCCAGACAGGCGCGGAACGACCGGGCGACAGCCTTTGTTCTGCAGAAAAGCCCGGTCTCCCGGAACCCGGGCGGCGCCTGCGCATTAGCACCGGGGAAATCCCTGGCTCGGGGAGAAGGTGGCGAAAGGGGAGTTCCGCGCGGTTGCCAAGGAGACCAGGCGGTCCTAGCAGTCACGCTCAGCGCATGCGCGGAGCGCTTTGCTTCCGCTCACCCTCGCACCTGGGCTTTCCCTGCGTGTGCTAGTGTGTGTGCTTGGGGCGGGGGGGGGGGGCACACATGCTCCGCGCATGCGCTAGCCGCTGCCCCTCCCAGGGGACTAGGGGAATCCTCCACCGCCCCAGCGCCCACGCGGTCCGGGGAAACCGGCTCGAACCAGAGTGGAGCTCCGGGGGACGGCGGGGGCGGGCTGCCGACGGGGTCTTCCCCGCGTTTGCGCCCTCGCGGTTGCCATGGCAACCGTGCGGGGGCTGCCGACTGAGGGCGACGGGGAAGCCGGGCAAATGTGCGCATGCGCCGCCGGGCCGGGGTTCCTCTCGGAGCTGGGACGCCGCGGAGGCTACGGGGACAAAGGGACCCGCGCGCTGGAACACAGCCGGGACGTTCCCACGCAGTGGCCACACCTGTCGTCCCAGCACTTAGTGGGCGCAGGAGAATTAGGAGTTTCAGGCCAACGTGGGTTCCGTGAGCCCTTGTCTAAAAATTAAAAATAGATCGCATGGCACAGAGCCTGCAGCCATAATTTGCCTCCTCATCTCCCCACCCCGAACTCTCCCCCGAGTCTCCCCACTACCCATACTCTCCCCTCCCCCTTGAGCCTTCTCATACTCAACCATCTCCACAAATTCCTCCCCCAGCCTCTCCGCATACCTCCTCCACTTTCCCAGGTCCTCGGCCTCTCCCCGTCCCTGGGCCTCGAACTCCAGCCCAGAGTACGTGAATGTGCAAAGGCATGGCGCCCCCACCGAGCTCCGTGCCCCTCAACTCGATGCCTGGCCCGGGGCTGCTCTCTTTGTGTCCCCTGGGGTCCTGGCTGCGACCCTCTGTGGGCGCAAGGTATTGCGCAGAGGGGCAGTGTCCTGTCGTGGGCCGCAGGGACCCTCGTTAGGGTGCACTTGCCTTTCCTCGGGCCTTTGTCCTCAGCACAAAGCTTCCACCCCTCCGCCTTTGTGGGAAGAGTGTGATAGACGATGCAATGGGAAGAGTGATCCGCAAGGAAGGTCTGGTCCGAGCTGACAGCCTGAACACAAGCTGTCTTCCGTCTTTGGGACCTCGGGCCTCACAGCGGCGGGGCAGCCCCACTGTGTTACTGAAGTTTCGGGGACGCCCTGCAGAAGGCAAGGAGGACTTTTGTGTTGCTTACAAAGGCCCTTACCAGGTGTTTCTGCATGCCCTGCATCCCTAGCACCTTTATTTGCGGCAGAGTCGCCCCAGATGCAGCTTCCTCCGGTTCCCCCTTAAGTGGCCTTTGGCTCCTCTTTCCCCTGGGGGAGGAGGATGGGAGTATAAGAACGGAAGTCCTGGGGGACCTAAAACCAGAGCGAGGTGGCCAGCAGGGGTGCCGGTAGCGGACAGTCACCTTCAGGCTGTGGAAGGGGGGGGGGGTGCTGAGCGGGCAAAAGGGTGCAAATGCTGGCCCCGAAGCTGGACCGGTTCAATGGAACGCTGGGGTTGGCCAGGGTCACCCAGGGGTCTGGGGAAGACAATAGGGCTCTCTCTCCTCGCTTGCTAAGAGAAGGAGAGGCAGTCGTGCGTGCGGGACAGGAATGTGACCGGTCGCCAGGCCATCAAGGTGTTTCACGAGGCAAGAATTGTAGGCGGTCCGCGAACTGCGCCTCGGGGACTCCACTCGGGGCGATGTGAGGATCAGGGTTTTCCACAAAGCTGTGAGTCCTTTGTCCCCACCGCCTCCGGACTCTCCATAGGGACGCAGCGCGTTGGGAGGTGCCTGGTGGCGCCACGCATCTGCCGCTCTCCCTCGAGCTCGTCCTGCAGACCCCGAAGTCCCCTTTCTGTCTTGTCTTTCCCCGCCCGCCCGCGGCTCCGCGCTGGAAGGGGAAGCCGCGCGCGTCCCCGCACATCCCAGCCCCATCCGTCCGAGGAATCCCCGGCCTCGGGAGCGCGGCGCCGCGCACGACTAGCTGCGGGGCTAGGGGACTGGCGAGGTGGGGGGAGCGGCTATTTTTAGAACATTTGGAAGAAAAAGGAAGGAAAAAAATAAAACAATAACAACAACGAAAAATGATGGAGGTTCTTAGAGGCTTCTGGGCTCCCAGGAGGAAATCCCCCTGCCTCAGACCATGGCAGACGGTGGGTGGGTGCTCAGGGTGGGGCTAGGAGGGAGGGGCTGCGAGGGTGGCTGGGTGGGGGGCGACACGGAAAGAACAAAGCAGGATAACGCCAGTGGCCCAGATCTCAGTTTTGGAGCGCCACCCCCCGAGGTGGGCTGGGGAAACTGAGGTTTGGTCTGGCCGAGATCCCCAGAAAGGTCTCTGCCTCTCCCCAGTCCCGGGCTCCGTTTGCCAACCGCCTTAGCACTCCAGACCCCAGGAGGCTCGTTGTTCTGGCTGGGTGGTTTGACCTTCACGCTGCGGCCACCCCGACATCCGCCGTTAGGGGCGCAGGGGGGACCCCGACTGCGTGGGCGGCGCCTGGCAGCCAGACGCGGGGACAGAGAAGTTTTCTCCGCCTGCCTCTCTGGTCACTTAGACCACCCCCTCACACACACACACACACACACACACACACACACACACACACACACACTCCTAACTGGGACC